ATAAATTCATCATGCTGTGTATTTCGGATGGATACATCCTATAGTTTGTAAATTATATCTCAAAGAAGGAGAAGGAGGGACTCCTGGGTGGCTCAGTGGTTGAGCATCTGCCTTCAGCTCAGGTTGTGATCCCACGGTCCTGGGATCGAGTCCCACCTCAGGCTCCCTGCATGGAGCCTACTTCTTCCTCTTGCCTGTGTCTCTGCCTCTCTCTCTGTGTCTCTCATGAATAAATAAATAAAATCTTAAAAAAAAAAAAAAAGGAGGAGGAGAAAAAGAAATGATCAACCAGGAGGGGGCTGGAGGAGGAGGCCTGAGGGGGCTTCTGGAGTCCTGATGATGTTTTGTTTCTTATTCTGGGTGTTGGTCATAGGGTCAGGTCCATTTACTTTGTGAAGATTCATCAAGCCATTCATTTATGCTTTGTGCACATTCCTATGTGAACATTATACCCCAGTAACAAATTTTACTAAAAAAGAGAGAGAGAGAGAAAAGAAAAAAAAATCAGCCAAGATGGGGTTTTGGTGGGGGGACACCATAACTTCCCAATAAAGAGGTACTTTCCTGTTTATTATTTTGTGTTATGACATCATCCTGCCAACTTAGTTTTATGATGTGAGGGATTTAGGTTTTATGTGTCTTAGTATAGAAAGGGTTATAAGAAGATATATTTAGCTAATCACCCAAGTGCTATAAGAATGTCAGTGAAAGCCATTGTTTCTTAATTATTCACAGCAATTATCAATGTGGACAATATTCAACTTGGAACCAAAATAAACGGATGTTTGAAGAGGCCTTGGTGGAACAATCAAATCATCAGTCTCAAAATGTACCCCCTCTGCTGCCTGTCAGAGTCACAGTTCTATATTTATCTTTCCAAATCAGCAGTATAGCAATTAGTTATTATAATAGGAGCTACCAATTTATTGTGTGCCGACTTCATGCCAGGCACTGCATCATCAAAGTTTTTCATTCTCTAATTTCATTGTCTCAACAGCCCTGCCAAGAAGTTGTCTTCTACCATTTTGCAGTTGAGGAAACTGAGGCTGGGGGCTCCTGAATGGGTCCAAGCCCACGCTGCTGGTAAGTCACAACCAGAGAATAAGCTGGAGTCCCACCCAGTGTGCTTTGCTATGTCTTGGGACTTGACGTCAGTGACAGGAAATAAGTGACATGTGCAACAGAATTCTGAAACCCGAATCATGGCTCTTCACATGGTTACTATAGTTACTTCTCTACATGATGCTCACATTTTTGCTGAGATAACAATGGATCCACTGTTAGCCATTGAGGTGTTGGAACCCCTACCTTCATCATGAAACCCGAGGGACATTTTAATAGGCTTAAAATAGCATTTCTGCCTTTTAATCATACCTTTTATTTCAGAAGCTCCTGGAACGTTAACAGATCCCATACTAAGGCAGCTTTACTAATATTGTTTTTTGGACCTTGTGTAAAACATAAGAGTTCTCTAAAAGTAAACAACCATATTTCAGACAGAGACCCAAAAGAACTCGTTGACAAAATAGATGCATTTGGATGGATTGTGGGGGTGGGGGTTCATGGATGTCCTCTCACTAGACTGAGGGAGGGGGTAGGTATCCAGCAGGAAGATGACCTTGGATATGGCAGGAAAGAGAGGCTGTAGCACCTGGAGGGATCTAGCCTGGGAGGGCTAGCAAAGAGGCAGAAGCTGTGCTTTGCAAGTAGATATGGCTCTTGCTAAACTAACAAACATATGCAGAGGAAGTGGTTTGGATTAGAAATGAGGTGGGAAGATGACCAAGGCCAGAAATGTGTTATTGACAGACGTTTAGAGCACTGAGCTGTCAGGGAGAATGGGAATTCATAATATGGGGTTGCCTTGCCTCCTGCACTCCAGCTGCCCAGGCTATGGTCAGGCGGCTTTATTCCCTCTGGACTCTCAAGGCCCACGACATTCTCAGATGTGGCACACTGAGACACTCATGGGACCAAAGACAGAAGCCAGAGCTTCTGATTCCTGGTCTAATGTCAGATCCATTCTCTCTAATTACAGAATCATAATGGTGAAGAGGATGGTGACATCCGAGGACAACCACAGGGCCTCTCTCTCAATGCTGGTGAGAACCAGATTCTTCCCCCTGGTTCTGTAGCTCCCAGCAGAGTTCTGGAAGCTGATTAAAGAGAAGATGAGAAATAATAGGTCATTAGGATCCTTATAAAAAGAAAAAAATGCTCTCATCAAACTTACTAAAGCGTCTCTGTGGCTGGAAGTGGGGGAGGCATTGTAAACTACTGGCTACAAGGGTCACTTGTGCCAAGCGGTGGCCTAGAGGCTGGGGCAAGTGTGCAGAGGGATTGAGGCTGGTCCCCAGGGGTGGGGTGGGGAGATGGTTTAGAAATGTATTTCTCAATTGGGTCAGCCAGTGAGTAAAAGTCTAAGGAATGCCTTTTAGCTGCCCCAGGAGAACCTAGCTGGTGAAACCAGTGGTACAAGGACCAAAGGGGACTGAGGGCAAGAAAGGGACAGACACACAGAAGAGATGGATCCCACCAGCAAGACAGGCAGATGTAGTGGGCTTCTCCATTAGCCGCCAGGTCCTTGGCTCTTCAAAATTTAATAGTTGGAAAGAGCTCAGCAACGTTTTGGGTCCAGATTATCTATAAGAATCTAGGGATTGTCCTCAGTGTGGGAGGGGTGTGGGAGATAATTGGAATGCCACACGTGGGCTGAATGTAGATTTAGCCCCCAGGTGGTCTGGTTGGACTTGAATAGCTCTCTGAGCAGTGGAGCAGCACCCCATAACCTTTGCAGGCACCTCCCTTCTCAGGGGATCCTCCCAGCCTCTTTCTAATTTAAGGCTGAGGCACATGCTACCCCCTACCCCTTTTCCTGTACCCTATGGGCTGCCCATTTGAATGCTCAAGAGACTGTTTTGGAAGAAGCAACCCCTGAAGGGACACAGACTGTTTCTTTCTTTGTTTTTGTTTGTGTGTGTGTGTGTGGGGGGGGGCTTTTTTTTAAGGATTTTTTTGAAAGAGAGAGAGAGCACAGTGTGAAGGAGCAGAGGGAAAGGGAGTAGCAGCCTCCCGGCTGAGCAGGGAGCCTAAAGCAGGGCTTGATTCCAGGATACTAGGATCATGACCTGAGCTGAAGGCAGGTGCCTAACTGACTGAGCCACCCAGGCACCCCCACAGACTCACTCTTTTTCTTTCTTTCTTTCTTTCTTTCTTTCTTTCTTTCTTTCTTTCTTTCTTTCTTTCTTTCTTTCTCTTTCTTCTTTCTTCTTTCTTCTTTCTTTCTTTTTCTCCTTTTTCTTGATTTTATTTATTTATTCATGAGAGAGAGAGAGGCAGAGACATAGCCAAAAAGCAGGCTCCCTGTGGGGAGACCCATGCAGGACTCCCATCTCAGTCCCCAGGATCACAACCTGAGCCAAAGGCAGAGGCTCAACCACTGAGCCACCCAGGTGCCCCAGACTGTGGTTTTTGTTGTTGTTGTTTTGTTTTTTTGTTTTTTGCATTTCTGTTCTACCCATTCTAAGGCTCCCTGAAGCTGCGGGTAAGTATATAGGGGCTCTAAGTGACAGAGATGAGGCAGAGATAGCAATAAGGTGGGAAGAGGAGCTCCCCACTGCAGGCAATCATCCCAGAGATTTGTCCTGTGTTTTGGCCAAAATTTCATGTGCTGCTTCCTTTTCCCAGCTTGTTTACTTTTATCTCTTCTGCACTCTTTTATTTGTCCACTCAGTAAACCTTGTTGACCATTTCCTGTGGCCAGGATTTTGTCCCAGATGAAAACTCACTTTGAATGAGGACTGAGACACAATCTTCTCTGTCACGGAGGTCACATTCTAGGTCAGTTTCAAAACAGAATGAGGTTCATGCTCACTGGGGGCAAGCAGAGGTGCGGTTTGGGAGCCCAGGTGTTGGGGGCTGAGTGGACCTAAGAGGGTGGGGTAGAGGTCAGGGAAATCTCCCAAAAGAGGAGGGAAGTGGTGTTGGTTTCTGCTCAAGTTGTCAGAAGAAATATAGGACCCTTGTATTTAATGCAGTATTTATGACATAATTTTCTTAAAACAATTGTTACTTATCTGAGATCCAGATTTGACTGGGCATTGTGTTATTTTCATTTGCCGAATCTGTCAACCCTAGTTTCCTGATGAAGATATAGGAGTTAGCTGAGTAAATAGAGGGACAGGAGGGAAGAACATTCCTCTAGAGGGAACAGCATGTGTAAAGTTGGAGGTGGGGGTCCCCATACTTCACCGAAGGAACTGAATATTGTTCCTTGCAGAGGGGGAGGAGTGGAGAGAATGCACCACACTGGCACATCTGTCGAGTATGTACTAAGGTCTAGGCCCATGGTGCTCACACAGGGTGCTCTTTTGAGCCAGATGGAAACAGCTTTGGCTCTCAGAGAGCTCATGGTTCAACTGAGAGGCAGTGAGGTTGGGCAAGAGGACAGGCACTGTGGAAGTTATAGCTGGCAGGCACCAGCTTGGCTGGGAGGTCATTAAAGGCCTCTCTCAGGAGATGACAATATGCTGAAGGATGAGGAGACAGGGATGCTGAGGGCTGGGGAATGAATGTTCTAGACTAAGGAAATAGCATAATGGAGGGCCTAAAGTAAAAAAAAAAAAAAAATACTCAGTGGGTCCTGGATACTGAAATGTGGCCAGAGGGGCCAGGGCTCTGAGGAGAAGAGGGTGCAGAGGAGGAGTTTGGAGAAGTGAGCAAGTGATCACACTGGAGGGAATTTGGGCTGGATCCTGAAAGCAATGGGAGCCACTGAAGGAGTTGAAAGCAGGCAGGGTGGCATACCCAGCTTTGTGTTCTTAAAGGTGATTCATGCTGAAGAGAAGAGGGCGGATGGGTAGTGTGGGGGCAGAGAGAATGAGGGTGATGAGGGAGGGGGCTCCTGCAGACGTCCAGGGCGGACAAGTTGGTGGCTTGGGTCTGCGTGATGGTGGTGGAGATGGAGAGAAGGAGAGATGGATCCAGGCTGTGTTGAGGAGGAAGACTTGGCAGGGCTGGGTTATCCGGCACTGGGAAGTGAGGGGGCGGGAGGAGCAGGCGTGACTCAAAGCTTCTGGTTTGGACAGATGGGAGGACGGTGGCACCACTTGCTGAGCTGAGCTGGGGACTTGAGAGGTTTGGGGGTGGCAAATTGACAGGGTTCAGGTTTGCACATGGAGAAGGTGAAGAAACTGGTGACAGCCATTGGAGGAGGGGAGCCCGGTGGAGCTGTGTTCAAATCTCTCTTCTCCCACTTGGCTGTGTGGCCTTGGTCAATGACTTTCCCCCTCCTTGCCTTACTTTTCTCATCTGTACCCTGGAATGATGTGGGTAGTCTGTCCTCAGAGTTCCTGAGGGTGTGGTGAGCAGCCTCCAAGATACCCAGTGATCCCCGCCTCCTGGTACTCACGTCCTTGTGTGGTGCCCTCCCACACTGTAAACGGGTTGGTTTGTGAGACTGAGAGACTACACGTATGTTACTTTGAAGGCTACATTATAAAAGACATCGTGGCTTCAGGCTTTTCTTTCTTAGAGCACTCGCGCTGGGGGCTAACCCAGCTGCCATGCTGTTGGGAGAGGCTCAGGTGAAGAGGGGCCACTGCTTCCTGCTAAAAACTACCTGAGTCATCTTGGAAGTGGGTTCTCCAGTGCCGGCCAAGCCTTCCGCTGACTGCAGCCCCAGCTGACATCTAGACTGTAAGATCTTCTACCTAAACTACTTCTAACTTCTTGACCCATAGAAACTATGAGATAAGAAATGTTTATGTTTTGAGCCCCCTACATTTGGGGCTGATTTATTATGTGGCAATAGAGAACATATCCAGAAGGCAGAAACACTCAGCACAGTGCCTGGCACATAGTAGGGGCCATAGAATATGCAGCATCTGTAGGTCGAGTTCAGGAGAGAGGCTGGGGCTGGAGGTATTGATCTTGGAATCTTTTGGCTTAGTAATGGACTCCGTGGAGGTGGCTGAGCCAGTCCACAGAAATGGGTAGACAGGAGAGGATGGCCTTGGCCAGAAACCTGGGCAGAAGGGGCTGGTAGAGCAAGAGGAGAAGCATCTCCATGAGTCTGAGAGGAAGGAGGGAAACTGGAACAAGCCATAGGAAGAGGCTATCTCCTGGAGGATGTGGTCACAGTATCGCTACAGGGAGGCCTGAGTGAGGGAGATCTGAGGAGGATCTTTCAGATTCAGCAACAGAGATTCCTGGTGGCCCCACAAGAGCTATTTAGGTGGAGAGATTGAGGCCAGATTGAATATTGTGGGTTGGGGTGTCAGTATAAACACTTTCCACCCCCAACTCCCAAACCAAGATGGTTTACAGGAGAATCCTATAGAAAATCCAAACTACAGAAAATCTCAGTCTTATATAAGCTGTAGAGTGAATAGACAATCTTTTTTTTTAAATATTTTATTTATTTATTCATAAGAGACATGGAGAGAGAGGCAGAGACATAGGCAGAGGGAGAACCAGGCTCCATGCAGGGATCCTGATGTGGGACTCAGTCCTAGGACCCCAGGATCACAACCTGAGCCAAAGGCAGTTGCTCAACCACTGAGCCACCCAGGGGCCCTAATACTCAATCTTTGATTTTTTTGAGCTCCTGTAACTGTGACAGCAAAACCAGACAAGGAGAGAACAGGGGAGGAAATTAGCAGGCATATTTCATTCATAGATATGAATGCAAAAACTCTAAATAAAATATTAGCAATGCAACCTAGCAGTATATTGAAAAAATAACACATCACCAAAGGTGTGTTGATTCCAGGAATGTGTGGACAGTTTAATAAAACAAAATCCACCATTGGATAAGGAGGAAAAATATCATATTTGATAAAGTACAGCACCCACTCCAAATAAAGCAGAATAGTGCTTCCTTACCCTCATAAAAGGTATCTATTAAAAATCTATGACGGGGATCCCTGGTTGGCTCAGCGGTTTAGCGCCTGCCTTTGGCCCAGGGTGTGGTCCTGGAGTCCCTAGATCGAGTCTCTGGATCGAGTCCCATGTTGGGCTCCCGGCATGGAGCCTGCTTCTCCCTCCTCCTGTGTCTCTGCCTCTCTCTCTCTCTCTCTCTGTCTACCGTAAATAAATAAATAAATAAATAAATAAATAAATAAATAAATCTTAAAAAAAAATAAAAATCTATGATAAACACTATCTTTAAGGGTAACATATTAGAAACAGTCAAGAACAAGATAGAAATCCCCACTGTCATCATTGTTGTTCAACAGCATGCTGAAGATTTTAGTCAGTGCAGTAAAAAACAAGAGACAGGAAATAAAGGCTGGACAGGGAGATGCTAAATGTAATTACTTGCAGACTCTATGATTATTTAACAGAAAATTCAAGAGAGGCTATGAACTTACTAGAATTAAAAAAAGAGTTCAAGTTTGCTGAATATAATATTATTAAAAACCAACCACATTTCAGTAATCATCAATATATTAGAAAATATGGATTTAAAAATATAATTTATAATGGCAATAAACACTTCAAGAGATACATGGGAATAGTTCTGAGAAAACTGACAAAATTAATTCCTCTATTTTTAATTGAGGAAACAGAAACCCTATAAAGGGAAATAACTCTTCTAAGGACACTGGTACACCAACGGGCAGTTCTGGATTTTCAGTGGCACCAAATCCTGAAGATCTGAGTGCTGGGTAATTTTGGTATTGTTTTTCTGGTGTAAAAACTAAAAACTCATCATATTTTCTGATTATGAATTCAGTTACCTATGCATTCTAGAAAGTACAGAAAATTCAGAAGCACAGTAAAATAAACCACTAACATTCCCATCCTAGTACCTGGAGAACTATGATCAATGATTTGATCTATTTTTTTTCAAAATTTTTGTCTATGTATATTTTATTTATTTATTTATTTATTTATTTATTTATTTATTTATTTATTTATTTATATTCATCAGAGACACACAGAGAGGCAAAGACAGACAGAGAAGCAGGCTCTCTGCAAGGAGCCCATGTGAGACTCGATCCCAGACCCTGGGATCATGCCCTGAGTGAAAGGCAGACACTCAATCACTGAGCTACCCAGACATCCCATATTTGTATTTTTAAATATAAAGTTAGGATTATACCACATATACCATTTTGTGCATGGCTTATTTTCATACGTATTTTCCTGTATCCTCATCTGGTCTTTTTGAGTATGATAATATAGCACTAAATCATGTTCATGAAGCATATGCCATTCATTTAACCTATCGATTTGGGTTTTCAGAGAAAAACCAAATTATCAGATGACTGTGGTGATCATGCTGATAAAAGTTAAACCCCACAGGTACCTGGGTGGCTCAGTCAGTTAGGCATCTACCTTCTGCTTGGGTCCTGATCCTCAGGTCCTGGGATTGAGCCTAGTACTGGACCCCTTGTTCTGCTGGGGCCCTGCTTCCCCTTCTGCCTGCCGTGCTCTTTAAATAAATAAAATCTTAAAAAAAAAACCCCAACAGTTTAACTCCAGAGCCAACCCAGGCACATGTATACATGAAACACAGGTGAGTTCTTAGAGCCAGGGGTCATCCTGGTGGAGAAGGGAAAAGGACAAAACCAACATCATTTACCTGGTCCTACCTGAAAGGGGACAGAGATCTGGTTAGCGGGAATAGAATGGGATTTGGAAGGAGTCTATGCCTGCCCACCAGTTAGCTCTGAGACTTCAGGTAATCCCCTAGCCTCTGCAACCTTGGCTTCTGTAGTGGTGGACTGAGGACAATACTGGCGCCAGCCTCACCAAGGGCCAGCTTCTTCCTGAGGCTTCCAGCCCCAGGGCCTTTGCACCGATCATTTTCTTTGCTGAAGCCAGCTCCGCCCTTCTCCCCGCCTGCCCTTCCCTACCCTGCCCAGCAGGCTAGATGGGCGATATCACAGGGTGGCTTGCCGCACCACCACCCCCCCCAGGTGCTCTGGCCACAGGCGGGGCGTCCAGGTCCTGGCCGCCACCCCGCGTGAGGCAGAGGCCCCTGCTCTCGCTCACTGTCAGCACTTAGAATTACAACTTGGCATTATTTTGTCTCCTGCCTGTTTGCTTGAGTCTTGCCGTCTTCCCCTCCCTTGAGGACCCCCTTCCGTCTTGGTGGCCGCTGTGCACGGCCGGGGCCCCATGCGTGTTGCGGAAACAACAGGAACAGCGGGGAGGACCCGCGTCCGGGGACGCAGGGAGAAGTGCGGGGGGTTGGGCTGATTCCAAACTGCGGCGGGGGGCGGGGCGCAGGGGGCGGGCTCGTGGGCGGGGCCTTCGGGATTGCGGCGGAGCCTGCCTGACCGCTCGGCCCCGGCTGCGCCCGGCTGAGCTCCTCCGGCCTTCTTGGCCCTCTGGCCTCCCGCCCGCGCCGCCGTTAGGGGGCGCCCGCGCTTGCGGCGCCGCGGCTCTGCTGGGAAGGCGCCGCCCGCGCCGGGCGGCAGGAGCCGCAACTCCGGGCGCGGGCTCAGTCGTCCGCTCTGCCGCCGCCGCCGCTGTCGCCGCCGCCGCCGCCGCCGCCGTCGCCGCCGCCGGGCGCAGGCTCGCTCGTCCTCGCGCTCCCGCTCTCCGGCCGCCGTGTCTCCGGGCCGGGCAGCCGCCGCCGCCGCCGCGCAGTGAGTGGGGGCGGGCCCGGGGCTCGGGGACTCGGGGGCTCGGGGGCCCGGGGGCCCGGGGCTCGGGGCTCGGGAGGGCCGGCCACAGGAGAAGCCCGCGCGGAGCGGCCGGGATCCGGGCGGTGGCGGGCCGCGCCGAGGGCACCCCGGGGAGCCGGGCGGCGCGCTCCGGGGCTGGCACGAGCCCGCGGCCGGGGGCCGGGGGCCGGGGCCGGAGGCCGGGGCCGGGCGGCCGGGCTGGGGCGGGGCCGGGCGCTTCGGGGGCCCCGGGCTCGCGTCGCCGGGGCGCGCCCCCCGCCCGGGCCCGGAGAGCATCTCGTGCCCCCGCCCGGGCCGGGGTGCGGTGGGGGGTGGGGGTCTTCGGCTGTGGGGCAGCAGCGGAGCATGGCCCGGACCGGGACACATCGACTTTTGCTCGAGAAGGATTGTTTTAGGGGGTGGCGCCTATTAGCCACCAATTGCCCTAATTCAAAGGCTATGGCAGGGCTTCTGAACCCAGCTCTAGGGCATTTTCTGCCCCCCCCCGCCCCCCAAGACGACCCCGTGAGTGCAGCTGAGTTCCTTACGCTCGGATGTGTGTGTCTTGGCGTTTCCAGTGGTGGACGTCCGAGGTGGTAGGTGACCGTGGTGGTGGGGAGCCCCGAGGCACCTGCCAGGCTGGCGGCGCTGGAGGCTGTGCCTGAGGGTGTGGGACAGCAGAAACGAAAACAGATCCTCTTTGGATATTCTGCTGAAGTTGTCATGTTTCTTCTGTTCCAGTATAGTTCTGGACCAAGTTGATAAAAGTCCGATTTTAGGACTTTGTGATAGAAGAGGTTTGAGTGACAGGCGGACCCCCCCCCCCCCCCCCGTGACCTGGCTTGGCCAAGAATGTTTGGGGTGGGCCCAGGTATCTCCTACCCTTTTCCCCCCTTGGCTGGCTTGCTTGCTTGCTTATTTGTTTATTTATTTATTTAATTTATCTATCTATCTATCTATCTATATCATCTATCTATCTATCTATCTTTTATTTACCCCTGCCACAGATGCCCAGGCGCGATCTCAGAATAGGAAGAGAGCTAGTAGCACAGCAGTTAGCACAGGCCCGATCCCAAG